CACCACCACCACCACCACCACCACCTCGCTGGCATGCTCACTCACTATCTCGAGCTGTCAAATCGGCCACAGGCCACTACAAATCACTTGATTAGACTTTCACCTTGTTGTTTGTCCGCATTTGTGGCTCTTTTCTAAGTCCTGCCTGCTTGAATTCTGGCCTGTGACATACAACTGAATCATCCTAGAGTATATTACCGAAGTTATGAGCTGTAAAATGAGAGTTGTAGTAGATATACTGCAAGCCCCATTAAGTTAGATCAGCCATGTGGAGAAGGGCCATGGATTGTCTGTAATGAGCGCGATATTCGGACTAGTAGCCAAAATGTCTAGCTCATGCAAACTGTTTGTGTAATTTTAATCCTAATTGGGTCAGATGTGGTTATGTAGCTCCGTTTGGAGTAAACAAACCCCAGCCACTCGTAATACAGGACCGGTGGTAATAGGGGGTTTGTACGGGTGGAGCCGGGTAACGTACAGGCGACGAGGTCAAATTATGCCGAGGCGTCAGACTATCTTGCCTTTCCCTACCTGTCCCTCACTCTTGAACTTACTGGTTGTTTAACTGAATGGAATTAACACAACTCGACGCGACGCGCTTGGCATGTGTTGGATTGTCAGGTCGTTTGAATTTTGATTGTTATTTCCTTCATAACTCTGGTCTTATCTTGATATCCATAGTCTGGGATTGACGGTTCTGCCCTTAGCGCTGGCGACAGTGGTGACCCCAACGTCATCTGAACACGATCGCGACAAAGTAAATGTATGCGAAAGAAAAGTTATTGGGAATGCGTGGTTGTATTCGAGTGGTTGAAAAATAGCTGCCCTTACCACTAACCCTAGTCACAACCCCAACAGTATCGTGTCGCTCAGGTGAGGTTACATAACCACATCTTACCCCTAATTGTTCGGAAAGTGAACACGTAGAGGGGTGCGGCGGTCTCATGTAATGAAATGCTTTTTTGAATGGGAATTGCGAGGATTTCACGTAAGACTACTGCAACTACAAAGGCGACGCCAGGCAAATAACGGGGTCGAAGATACAGGATAAAGACGAGTGCCAGGCAGCAAATGAGAGGGTAGAGACTCGATCGTAAAGGTGCGGACATTGTTCCCCTGGCGTTTCGAACCCATCATCAGAGGACGCAGCAGATAAAAGCAACGGAACGAACAGATGGCGCAGGACACATAACATTCATATACTATGCAGCCATACACTCACGCCTGGCTTCCGCATTCATCGTACACGCTCATACTCGGTGTCGCTATGGGATTAGTGGTCCGCAGCTGAGTTGTTAATTGTCGTCATTTGCCCACCGTTATTTGTAATTGACACGATAATGACGCCATAGCTTGACTTGCCATTACTGCCACCGGAAACAGTATTCACAGATGCGATCTTCGCGTGAGTATTAATTCTGCCCAGGCAGAGTCCTAGGACTGCTTCGTGGGGGGCGCAGATAGGAGCTGAATGACAGGCAGGTGGGGGGAGGGGGATCAGATCGGAAGAACAGCGGTGGCCCTCTCGCCGCGGCGACAGAGACCGAATCCCCTATTGCTCCGGCCGGTTGATTGCTCACGCCGCGCCTGACTCAGCCTTCACTTCGGTGCCACCGCGCCACCGATCGATAGGGCTGTCCGCAGCTGGACAGCGCGCGCGTCTACCTCGCACCGACTCGGACAAAATCAGGGGCTGACACCCAGCTTGCTAGAGTAACTGCCCTGACTTCCCCCTGTCTTGCTTTTACGCTCCCTTGCAACAAATAAAGCCTGTCTCCCTGAATTTTTACTTAAAAAATACACCTGCTTCGAACCATCCTACTCCGACAAAGCTATCTCCTGTGACTGACGAGACTACCAATTAAGGAACGTGGCCAAGCCCGCCAACCCCCGTATTTGCGCACATGTATGACATCTTCGGGAAGTCATAAGGTGACACGGTGAAAGTATTCGTAGTGTGATCAGCTACATGGAGAGTATAATGCATACGTTAGATAGTAACTGGACAGATGCCATGGTTGCACAATAGTGACTGACGTACGAAAGTTATGAAGGACAAACATAAGGGTGAGGGGGGGAGGGAGGGCGAGATGGGAACGGGGGCCTTCCAGCTGGGAGTGCAGAAGAGAACTGCGGCAACTAGAGTTTCCGTCTTCGTAACACGGCTAGCTCCACACGAAGACACGGGCCCCAAAGGACTAACTCGGACGGAACGAAGAAATTGTTTCCTTCCCGGCTGAAGTCACCCAAAGCCAGCGAAAGGGGCACGAAACACAACAGGGGCCATGAAAACGGGGGGTGGGAGGGAAAAATTGAACTAGGAAGCAGTCTGTCAGGTCAGTCAGTGCGATACTGAGGAGAAAACAACATAAAATGCGTGGGGGAGGGGATAGTGGAGTGCGAGTGGATATCCTGGAGGCAAGGTTGGGATAAGTAGGTCTGCTGGAAGTGTGTGGAAGCGCATGGTGCATGATTCTGACAGAACACACACACACACACAAACAGAGGGGAAACGGCGTCAGGATCGGGGTTCTCCTTCTCGTTTGCATCCCTCTGACGGCCTAAAACAAAACATCTCATTTAGAACTGATGATTGTTAACAGCCGCGGGCACTTGGTTACGTAGCTTATAGGAAAATGAGGGAGTCGTTCAATCAGAAAACGTCTGCTGCGAGGCGGGAGTGATTCATCGACCCTGCAATTGGAGCGAACGCTCGACCGTTGAGTTCCTACAGCCAGCTATGTAAATTAATTGATTTTCCCTACATTCAGCTGGCACGTAGAGTCTATCTTTAGTCTGAGCGTCCGCTTTGCTGAGACTAGACGCCAGATGAAGGGATTATCGATTAATTCACAGAGCAAGCAGGTTGGAATCCGGCTTAATCTGCGGCCAAGGCCTTCAGCTAAAACGGAAAGCAGTGCTCACCTGACTACTCGTCGTTCATAACGCTCGCCACCACCTTCCTGCTTCTTGGCTACAATTTGAGGAGGAAGAAAGAGAAAGTATGAGTGTAAGCAAGATACGGAGAAGGGTCATCAAAAGGATCAGGATGGGGAGAAGGGAGGGCAACAAGAACGTACGGCATGCGAGTTCGCCGCGGAATTAGGTGCCGTACTGAAGCCCCGATTAGTCGACACTGAGGACCGATTCTTTGCACGCAGTTTTTGCAAGGCCTGTTCCGCCTGATCGGCACGCTCTTCAGCGTCTTCAACCTCCTGCTGGATCTTGCGGTACTTGGCTAGATTGACGGCAGCAATCTCCTCAGCCTCGTCCACCTGCCTCTTGTAGGCCTTGATCTTGTCTTGGAGTTGATCAACCAGCTCCTGCATGCGATCATGGCTCTTCTTGTCCTCGTCGGCCTACCGGTCAGAAGGAGTCGATTAGGACAAGCACAGAGCAAGTCTCCAAACGATTTGCCTGAAAGTGTGCTGGGGGAAGCCGCATAAAATGATAGAACTCACCTGGAGAGAAACCTCCTTGAGACGGCGATCCACCTTGCGGTAGTTCTTCTGGGTCTCTCCATGTCGTCGTTGCTCCGACTCCAACTCTGACTCCAGCTCGCGCACCCGTTGTTCCAGCTTGGCCAGAGCCTTCTTGCCACCCTTCGTGGCGTTGGATTCGCTCTCCTCCAAACGCACCTGCATCTCCTTCAACTGCTGCTCCAGTTGCTTGCGAGCCTTCTCCACAGCCTGAGTGTGTTCCTGCTCCTGACGGATCTCATCAAAGACACGAGCACTGTCCGCCATCGCCTTCTTGGCCCGCTCGTCAGCCTGCTTGGCCTCGTTGGCGGCCTCCTCCAAATCAGCCTACAGACAGAATTACCAAAAAAAGCAGAGGTAAAAGGTCGCCGAGACTCCTGAAGACTAATTAGTGCTCTGGAAGCAAGTTACAACAACCATTTGACTGCTTACCTGCATTGCAGCGAGATCGGCCTCCATCTTACGCTTCATAGCGGAGAGAGAAGCCACCTGCGCAGCCATTTCGGAGGCACGGTCAGACGCCTCGCCGCGTTCAGCCTCAGCAGACTTTCGAGCACGTTCAGCTGATTCAAGGTGGTTTCGCACGTCCTCCAACTCGCCAGACAACATGTTTGCGCGTCGTTCAGCGGCACTGACGTTTTCACGCATCTCATCACGCTCCCGCCGTTCGTCCTCGAGCATGCTCTGCAATTCGCGTGCCTCCTGTTGCAGCTTCTTCACATTCTTCTCCATCTCGGAGCGGGCACGGTTCGCACTGTCCAGACCGACCTCCAGCTCGTTTATGTCCTGCTCTAG